GAAAAAAAGGGCAGAATGTTCTTCAGAGAAAAGCAAGGAAAGAAAGTTGAACAAAAAAAGGAGAGACTAAAATAACTTGGGAAGGGGAGAAATGCAGTGCACTTATGCTACAAATATTTCAGGTTACTAAAATTGTTGGGAGCAGCCAGGAAAAAGGGTGGGGGGAAGAAAGGTGGACACTTAAAATATTCCAGTCAACATTGTACACTAACAAAAAAAGCTGTAGTATGTGAGTTACAAACACTAAAATGATAGATGTGACTTTCAATTGAGTTTGAATTTTGTATCACCACATTATTTGAATCAAAGTTTGTTGTTTTCAGTAAAGCCTAACTGTGGAACTAGTTTTCTTGTTTCAGTGAAGCAGTTGGTGATGAGTAAACAAAAATGTCCCCCCAAATCATGTTCATATTCCATGCTTTAAATTAACTTTTCTCAAAAATAAAGTGCTATACAAAGAGAACAGGCACTGCAGAGAAGTTTCAGGAATCCAAGGGAAATTGAATGAAAAGGGCTGTAAAAAAAACCACAACAACCAACCAACCAAAAAAACCCACCAAATTTCATCAGAGGTGTGTGCATTTAGTTTAAAGATGAAACACTGTAGGCAGACAATGGTTTAGCACAGAGATACTATGAGTTTTCCATATAGAAAAGATAACTCTGATGTACTGCTCAGGTACTTTGACCTCAAGCCTCTGATTTAAAAACCTTGTATATGGATATGCAATCGGTACTGCATTTAGTATGAATGATTTGCTTGCATTGATGAATGAGGAGGGGAGGGGATGCATTTGGCATCGCACTGTGTGTGGTTTCTGAAATGTCAGTTGGTGTGGCAGAATTATTTGTCTTATCCATATCTTACACGTTCTAACTTTGCAGCTTGACTTAGGGTGGGGTTGTCCCCCTGCCTGGGTGCGTCCTGAAAGGCTTGTCTTGTTCTTGTTTGCAGTTCAACGAAATGTAATGAGGGCTGTTATTCCCAGCTCTGGCCTACGGGTGTTGTAGTTCCTTACCCAACGCATAGCTAAGAGCTGTTTTCCCTCCTGTCTCCCCCTTTTGGGTGCCTGACCATCACTGAGCCTTGGAGAGGAGGAGGAGAGGCAGCAGGGAATCAAATGAGTGAATAAAACGAGGCAAAGGCTGACAGCAATAATAGCCAGAATATTTTTCAGCTCTGGTGTAGCCTTGTCCTCAGGCTGCCTTTCCATATTCTTTTAAGGGATTTGAGAGTCTTAATGTTCTTATATTGAATCGGCTATATACAATTCTGTGCTGCTGAAATTTGCAGAATTTGAACTTCAGGTTTCCGATATTTACACATACGAATACTGCCTGACAGGTTGAAGATGACAGTTATTTATAATTGCCTGGAGAATAATGAAGCTTGTTTAAAAAGAAACAAATAAATAATCAACTCTTAGAAGTTGTTCTGCTTGAGACTTATTATGATGGGTGCATTTGTTTGGTAAGCATCTTTGCTCTGTAACAAGAATTACAACAGAAGATACAGAAGATTATATAATAGAAGATTAAAAATATTCTGCTAGGTTTATTACTATTTTAAGTGAATATAGCGACACATCTAATTGATTTTGAAATTGGTCTGATAATGCTCAGCTCTTGTATTTCAGTAATGAATCATGATCATAGGTTACAAACAATTTTAACCATTAGGGCATGGAGAAAAGGTGCCATTCAAAGCTAAACACCACAATTAGGGATGCATGACTGAAGTTTCAAAGTAATGTATTAGTAGTATTGTATGAGATAGTCACATGAAAAAGATCATGAGATTGTGAAAAGGATTATGATCATGCTTTAGTCATGAATTTCCTGGTAAAGATATTTCAGTCTGGATCGTGCTCGTTTAAATTAGAATAATTTGACTTTGGTTGTTCTGGTTATATTACCATTATGTGGCAAAGGGGGAGAAGAGGTGTCTTGCCTACAAAAGTAGTATCCTTTGAGTAACTGAATTTTGCTTAAACTTGAGATTCTGTTTTTAGTATTGAGAAACTGAAGTTAGATACTGAACAATTTCCTAGAGCATTAGAGTATACTGCATGTACTTACCTGCTGCTGCCATCTTCTACACCACCATATGTAAGTTCAGCTTTCTCCCAGGGATTTTATTTGTCTTGCATGTACCTTAACTGCTTATTCCAGATCCTGAACCCACTCTTCACATTAAGTAACGTTCGACATTGTAAATCCTCAGTTGATGAAAATCAGCATATTCCTATACAAGTGTGGAGCTCTGATGATCTGTCACCAGCCATATTCCTGACCCAGTACCTTTACTTACTGCCAGAATGTTTCTGCTTCCTGGGATGATGTAAGTCACAGAGCCCAGGTTCTCAGCCTGTGTGAGAAAGAGCGTATGTTCTTTGTTTAAAGGTTATGGAATGAGTTTCCAGACAATCATACAATCTGAGGGTTGACTCAGTCCAGTGACTCTTGGATAAAGATTTGCAACCCTTTTCTTTCTACTCTACCAGTAACAACTCTGTATTTACATGTTTCCTCAAAGGAGAATGGAAAAAGCTGCTGGAAGGTGCTTTGAGATGCTTTTAATGTTTCTGTACTAATCCCAGTGATGTATTTTTAAGAACATTAAGGATGCCTTAAGTAGAGTCCGTGAGTGAAAAAGACTATATGAAAACAATATCTCAGTAAATTTTGGGGATGAACTCCATACACTAAATTACTTGAGAAGGTTTGTCACAGCCCTTAAATCAATAACTGGAATGTAGGTGATTGAACTGGAGACAAACTGCAGTCATTCCAGACTGATGATTGAACAGTTGTTTATAAAAATAAAACACTATTATACAAGGTTACCCATTGACCTGATATCCCTGGAATCAGTTTTGATGCAGATACCTCCATTTGACAGATATTCTGCTGATATTACATCTGTAACTGGGTCAGTATTACAAAAGAGAGTTCTGTTTTTTTTTTTTTTTTTTAATCTCGCAAATGTTTGAAGCTCCAGTGAAAAGCGTATTTGCATCTTTCTTATTTGTAGAGGTTAACAGGAAAAACTTTTTTCCCAGTCTTCTGTGTTAAATCCTTTATTTGCTATATCAATTCATTAAAAGGTAGCCCTTCTTTTCTTCTGATTCCTTTTCTCTGCCAACTTGTTGCAAGTCTATGAGCTTCCATGAGATTTTTTTTTTTTTTTTTTTGGTACAGTAATATGGTTGCAAGTGCTTAAGCACAAAACAGGAAATTAAAATGGATTTTAAATGTGGTTTGCTGCAAAGCACTTCCCTGACTGATTCCACGAAGCATGTTTTAGTTAGCTGAGGTTGGCTTGAGAAGGACAACTAAAGCTAGTAGCATTTTAGGATGTGTTGACCCGGTCACTTGCATCTTTGTGAATGTAGGGTCAGTCACCTCTCTAGTCAAGGTGCACATAAGGAGCTAAAACTGCTCTCGGTGTAAAAAGAGTTGAAAGCATACTTGACCTGTTTTCCTATTACTTTGCATCCTTGCATTTACTGCAGTGTTTTGGTTGCATCTGAGCATACAGAAAACAAGGTGGATGGAGCTCTGTCCTTATCCTGTCTCTCAGGTCTTATTTCCCTCTCAGTCATATTCTAAATTTAACTAGTTATGTGTAAAAGCCCTACTGCTGTACTTGGTTCCTTTGTCTATTTTAGTCAACTCTGTTAAACTGTTCAAAATAGTCATTCAGCTGTTCAGATTGATTGGGAAGTTCTGTGTGTCTTTCTTTTTGTTGTCTGCTCCTTTGCTGATAGGAGGGCTTAGTTATGTACTACATGTATCAGCTGTTGTAAATGTTACACATTTTATTTGGCTTGGTACCAAACAGAACAAATTAAGTGTTTCTAGAAAACTCTGTCAATGTTTAAATGATTATTTATAATTTTTTAAACCTGTATTTTATTCTCTACCCAAAATAAGACTCCAAAAAATAAGTCATAAAGTACAGTTTTTGGCTTATCTGTAGCTTTCTAGTTTGATAACATTTTTACATAGCTTGGATTTTTTTTCTTAAAATTTTCTTTTATAATAATTATTCCAGTTTTATATATATTTCTGCTAGCAGATGTAAGCAAAATAAAGCTGTCATATTTTGTAAAACAGTGAATTGTTTTCAACTCTGAACACAAGATAGATTTCTGCAGTGTCCTCTTCATTACCTGATATTGACTAGTAAGTTTCTTACATTTAATACTAAATTGAAAACCACATTGTCTAGATGATAGTTTCTAAAAATCAGTACTAACTACTTTGACCTAGAGTGTGTCAGCAATAACAGTTTTTTTGAGTTGCATAAGCAGACATTTTCCATATAACCTTATTTTTAAATTAATGTCCATGTAGATCTTTGAAATCAGTGAACTCATTAAAGTAGAAAGTACTAAAAATACAAACATTTAAGCAATACATTGAAGCTGGTTAAGGACAACTTATTTTTAAATCACTAATTACCAATCGGAATGGGGAATTGTGCAGTGTGTGTGTTTAGTGGAGGTACTTTGGCAGCACATAAGAGAACAAATGATGTGTGAGCTTTCAACTGTATTTACTTGTCATACCCATAAAAAAGGAAATACAGTATTATTGTTTTTAAATAATTTTTATTCTTTTGTAACTTGTGTCTTAACGTTTTCAATGTTATATGTTATCATAAGCATAGATGCCTCTGAAAATACACACAAAAAATGTTCTGTTATGACTGACTGTAAATGCTGATCTTTTCCTTGTAACTGGCTTCTATAAGTATGGTATGTAAGGCTGCATCTCTAAAATACGGAGCCTATCTTAGTGTTGGATAAGAAAGGTACATTAATACAATTTCTGAAAAATACTGCAGTTGTTATTCTGTTAGTGACAATATCTTAAAAGATTTGTGAGTGATTCAACTGGTACAAATAAATACCAGCTGATACACACATGGTGCAAATGTTGAGATTGCTTTTACACCTAAGTGCTTCCCCTTGTGTTTCTTGTAGGAAACAGAGATGAAGGTACACATGCACACAAAATTTTGCATCATTTGTTTGCTGACATTTATCTTTCATCAGTGCAATCATTGCCATGAAGACGGACATGACCACGGTCCTAAAAAGAAACGTGAACACTACCATAATGACTATCAGATCTCAAATGAATCCTACTTCCAGAATGGAGGAACAGAATCTATGCCAAGTAAATTTTCTACATTGGAAGCTGAAAATGAACAAAAATACTACATTGAAAAGATTTTTGATCGTTACGGTGAAAATGGAAGATTATCTTTTTTTGGCCTGGAAAAACTGTTAATAAGCCTTGGTTTAGGAGAGGTAAAAGTAGTGATGATAAATCATGATGATATTGGCCATGATCATGTCTCTCACTTATATGCTTTAGAAGTGCAGGAAGGAAAGCATTCTCACTCTCACAACCATCCTCATAGCCACACAGATTCAGAAAACCAAACCATGACTGGTATGTCTGCAAAGAGAAATCATAAATGTGACCCTGAGAGAGAGGCAGTAGTACCATCAGTAAAAGATGATGGCAAACACATCCATGACCAGAGTCGCCGTCACCATCATCATCACCCTCATCTACATCATCATGACCATAATGGTACACATCATTCTCGTAATGATTCAGTTAGTCATAGTGAACATGGAGAACAGAACCATGAACCTTCAACAGAGACAAACACAACTCAGGATCAGCCAGAAAGAAACCAACGTAAACAGAAGAAGAAGAAGCAAAAGAAGATCAGCGAGACTTCAGGAGATCCCCCAGATCATGATCCAGGTCATCAGTATGAGCACAATCGTGTTCATAAACATGATCATGTACATGATGCATCTCACTTGCATGTACACCATCACGAACACAGCAGTGATCGTTCTACTAGTCATGGACATCAAGATTCCAGTTCAGGTAATGAGGACGGACACCACCATACCAGCCAGCGAGAGGCAGCTCATAAGCAGATTACTGTAACAAAGCATGTTATTTTTTCAACGCGTAGTCATAAGGATCATAGTGAAGATGAACGTGATCGTGAAGAGGTGAGTATGAAATGGAGAACCAGTAAGTTCACTTTCACTATTGTTACATAATAATTGGAGGTGCATACCCACAAATGATGCAGAAACACGTTTGTGACCGTTGCATAATACAGATAGCAGAGTGAGAACAGTAAAGGTCACTGCCACTGTTCTGAGTTTACTTTATGGGTTTTTTCATTTCTGCCTGCCAGTTGCCCATCTTTTCTCAGAACTATCTTATTGCTTATTTATCTGTATAAAGGAGACACCTAAAGTTTTCTGAGACACCCTGCTTACAGGTAGGGGTTTTTCCCTTCCTAATATTCATGAATACTTCACACACGCACACACCTTTTTTGGACTTCTTTCTTAATCTAACATCATTAACATTTTTGGAAACTGCACAAAGACTCTTTCCTAAAAGAAACACATGCATCTTTTCAACATGCTTCTAACTTCTTTCTCCTAAGAGATTGTGAAGCAATGTAGACGTAGCTTCTGTAGCACTGTGCTCGGTGTAAGCTCTTCCATTTCTCCTGTTAGCATCCATTATTTCTGCCAGAACTGTAAATATAATTTACCTTCCCCCTTACGGTTATCTACAGAAGCTGGACGTTTTGATATCATGGTTTTAAACTAGAAGTCAGGATAGGAAGGGATGGAGTGAGTGCCAAGTTTGAGATTTTAAACTGAATTAAAAAGTGAAACTCCAAATGCAGAAGGTTGGTAGGTAAAGAGAAGTGTTAGAAAATCTACTTTGGATTTGTGTTCCTCCATTCCTTTCATGTTGCTCTTTGTTCATAACTTGTACTGTGTAATAGTAAAGAATATGAAAGCTCATTTTCATTGACATTTATCAAAAATTATATAGGCGTTTGGAGACTGAGTTTGTGGTGCAGTTATTTTTACTGTTTCTTTCCCCTCATAAACCACTTAGATCAGCTTAGACATGTTTTAGCACAGGAGGAATGTTGTGGGCCAGAGTTTCTACTTTCTGTTTATGTTCTCAAATAATATGCTAAATTTTCCACAACTGTAGTTTTTTAATGAGATAGTTGCTTTCATATTTAACTTGTTTGTACAACTTGCTTGCAGTGCTTAAATGTTACCCAGCTGCTACGGTATTATGGTCTGGAAACCAGCTCTCCAATATCTCCTGAATTGTTTATATACATGTGTCCTGCTTTGCTGTACCAGATTGAGAGAAGGCTTTGTATTGTTCATTATGATGAGCTTGAAGATTTCATGAAAAGTAAAAATGCATCAATAGAGAATAAGGATAAAACAGGTGCATCAGGTAGGTGTGTAACATCTAAAGCCTTCAAGATTATTTTGCATTATAAATATTAACTTCAAAGTTTGAAATGTCATACAACTTAGCATTGACTGTGGAGTAAAGGAATGGCTGAAGTTTAATGTATTTACTAGAAGAAATTTGAGACAGCATGCTCCTTGAAGTTGGGAGATGTAGCATCCTGTTTGGTGATAGCATAGCTTCTCCGAAGTAACCATGGCTCAGGGAGGCATGCCTTTTTTTCTTGTACCTTTTTATCCTTTTTTCAGTATTTTCAGTTTTTATTTTATGTTTGTTTATTTCTTTTCTTGTCTTCTATCATTGAGGCCTAATGTCCTATCATCGAGCCTATGGCCCAGGCATTTTGGCCTGGATTCTTCCCACATATCTTCAGATGTTGGACTCTTGTAGTAGGAACACAGGCAAGGTACAGAATCTTCAGAGACAGAAGGACACCTAGGGATAAGCAAGTCCACCCACAGTTTGGATTATTTCCATAATTTAAAACATGTTATGTCGTCTTCCCTTAGCGTGCCTGAGGTGCTCTGTATGTTTGTCTCAGAGTCGGAAAGTTGCAGTGTTACTTTGGCACAAATTTTCTTAAGAAATTTGACCTGGATAATTAATTCAGGAATAGAGAACAGCACCTTCATCCCAGTTCATTCACTGGAGAATATTTTTTCAGGTGTTATCGTTTTTGTATTCTAGCAGTGATGCAAATTTGTAGAATTGACATCCATAATTTTTTGTGAACTTAATAAAGACTTAAGCACCATTCAGGAGCATTTAAATTGCCATTTCTGACAACAGTTCCCTCTTCTGACTTCCAATGTCAATTATTCTCCTTTTAAGCATATGACAAGTATTCAGTCAAAATCTTCTGTTGGCAGTTTTAATTTTTGTGTGTGTATGCCTTAAGTAAAAATCAGTAGACTCTTTTTGTCTTACCACAGTTCTAGCCAAAAAAATATTTTTACTGTTGTTAAAGCAGTTACTTTAAGGGCAGCATCCATTGCTGTGATTTCATAACGGAGTATACTTGTCAAGTACATGTTTACTACTGCTGGCTTTCATCAATTATAATGGAACTGTTGACAGATGTTTAGATGCGATGACTACAAAAATCTTGTGTCCATGTTTTGAAAATAAAAATATTTATAATTGCGACTATTGGTTAGAATATTGAATAGGTGCTTATTAGCATTGCTGGTAATCTTTCTTAACGATGCTGGAGCCATTAAAATAATTAACTTGCTATACATAAATCTGCTATAGTGGCACAGCTACTATCTTGTTAACTGTTCAAAGATTGCTGTAAACTTAATACACTCTGTGTTTTATATGGCAGCAAATTGTTTTGTGAGGTAGTCTCATTGTAGTAAGAGGTGACCCCTGCCTTATTACCAAGAGGATTTGTGGAGTAGCTCTAAGCATTTTCTGCTAATTAAAATGTTGAAAACATGTACAAAACTGTCATGTTGCACATGCTTTGAACCAGTTTAATTAGAAAGTTTCTACAGATGAGTGCTTCTTTTTAAAAGAATGCATTTTCTTTCTCTGTAATGAGTAAGGGAGTTGATTAATAACTCAGCTTGCAGACGTTTAACATTTTAAGACTTAATTTGCAAAATCAGTGAAGCTTATTGTGAACATTTAACATATTTTTTGTCATCTAATATCTTGAGTATAAATAACACATTTGCCAGCCAATTGTAAAAAATTGGCTTTTAACTTATTGATTTGGCTCTGAAAACAAACAGTAACCTCTAAGACAGGTCAACTCTATTAGATAATGGTAACTCATTCTTCATAACGATTTCCGGTATATTGTTGTATTAACTACAGTGAGACTTCAGTTGATGTAATAATAATTTTCCCATCTTAAGTAAGGAAGTGAATCACAAAATAACAAACCAACCAATCTTAACTGGTATATGGGGATTGTGGGAGGTGTAGGACAAATGACTGTCATAGAGTAACTTAACCTGCAGGTTGTATGATTCTTTTAATACGAAAATGCGTGCTTACCCGAGCCAATGTAAACATTTTTAGATAGAAGTATTTGCCAAAGTTAGGAGGATACAGACATTTTTAAACACTAGCTTTCTGTGGTTTTCTTTATTTTTAATTAAAACTTTCAAGAAAACTATTTAATAGACTAGTGCTGCTTCTATTCATTGATACTAACCTGTAAGGTTTCCATTAGTTTTGACAGTGCAGCTTTCTAAAGCAAAGTAATCTAATTAGCTGATGGCCAAAAACTTACGAAACCATGTTGTGTCTTCAGCCTGTAATTTACAGGTAGTTCTGTAACATCTTCTAGTAGAGGATTTTCAAGGGCTTATATATACAACTGAGCTTTCATAGGGTACCTGTTAGAGTTTAAACAGAGACAGAAGCTGACGATCAAGATCTGAGAGATGCAGAGATTCCATGTTCTAATTCTGATGTGCTTTATCTTTAATCACAGTGCCATGTTTAGGTACTGTATCATTCATAAGCCCTTCAGAGACGTGTTTGCCAAATCTATGCTATGATACATGAAACTTAAACCAGTTTGCATAGTCTCCTTTCTGTTTTAATCCATGTAAGGCTGTTGGTCATTTAACCTGGCACTTAACATCATAATGTCTGTGTGGATTGGAGATCCAGTGTCCTGCCAAATGGCTGTGTAATTTTTATTTGGGGTACTTGTGCATGCATGCATGATTCCGTATTGAATTACAAGTCCATGTATGCTCTTTCTTTTAGCAAAGCCTGTTAATCCAGAGTACATGACTGAAGTGCTTTGCAGATGAATCAAGGCTGTGTAGTGGCAGTATTTTGGTTGTCAGGGTCCTGCTTCCACTCTAGAGCTACTTTTTTTTATTCCCATTTTCCACCCTCTGTTTTTCAGTTCCTCATCTGATGGCAGTCTTTGCATTTTCACCAACTCTGTTTTCCTCTCAGTATCAATGTGCATTTCTGTGTATGCTGCTTACTTTAAAGCTTTTTCCAACCATTTTCTCCTGGTGGATATCCTCTTGTGCCCTTTGCATTTGAATTAAGTTGCTTCCTTTTCTGCACTGTTGTGGAATGACAGCTACAGACTTCATAAGAATGAATATCCCAAAATAAAATTTAAAACAGCAGATCTTGTGCGTTTTGGTGTTGAACCAGACCAGGCCTACAGCAGCTACAGTTCTGGTGGCAAAGTCTTGTCTGATCTGTACCATTTTTGGTACAGATAGAATTCCTGGGGCATTTGGCTGCTAAATTATAAAATTCGTTGATCAGCTACAATATACTAATTCCTCCTCTCTTCTCCTCCCCCCGCCATTTCGCAGGATGTATTCCCCCACTGGATCAAAAATGAGTGGGGTAAGGAAAGTCAGATCATGCACTAAAGTATGGAGATGCTGATGATTTTAAATCAGGAGTTGCTAACTTTTGTTGAAGTTGGCAAACTGTGTAGTCATTTTTGATTAAGAATGGAGCTAGGAAAAAAAAAATGGAGAAACTGGAAGCATTTAGGTTAAAACTTAAAGAAAGAAGAAGTTCAGATTGATGAAATCATGTTCATGAAAGTTCTCCTCCCAGACAGTTAATGTTTGTAAAACAGAAGCACCAACTATTTCTGCCCTTGGGACTGTGAACCTTTTGAACTGTATTGTTGGAATTAATCAGTTTTTAACTTACTGTTCTTTGAAGTTTCTCTGATGGGAAGAAACAAGAGAAATAATAGCAAAGCAGAGACAGAGGGAAAAAAACCCCACTTTTTAATACTTAGTCTTACTGAAGACTTGAAAAAGTAGAAGAGAAAATATTTTATTATGGTGAGATGCTGACTGCAATTCTTCTTTGCTTACAGGATCTGTTTCTTGTGATTCGGCCTTTTCCTTGTGATATAGAAATTTGTATCATATCCCATTATCACTTTTTCTTCTAATGACAATAGTAGAGGTTCTCAGAAAAAAATGCATACTGCTTTGTGTTGGTAGCTAGCTGCTTTCAGGTCTTCAAGGTCTTATAGCATTTGATTTTAAAGTTTGTCTGTCAAAGGTTGAGTCTTAGTTTTTTCTCATAAATAAAAATGTATGTTTCAAAGCATCAGGTGAAGAGAATGGTGCCTAACTGAACACGTTACTCCTAACAAAGGAGGAGAAATATTGATTGCAGTTAGATTTTGCATCAGAATCATGTTAAAAACAAATGTTAAATATTAATTATTGCTTGTAGAGCCCTAGTCAGTTAAGCAGCGGAGATGTTTTTGTTCCAGCATGAAATCTTTTATTTTTTGTGTTTCGTTAAGGGCTACAGAGCTAAGCCTGGAACTTACAATCAGGAAGAATTGCTGGACTCATTTTAGCTGATTGTCTTCTGATGTCTTTCACTATATTGTAATGTACTGTGAACAAGCCTGTATGTTTTTTGCTGTGAACTTCAGTGCTGCCTTCACATTTTTCAGCATCTTTTGAATGAACAATCACACAACTTGGGCTAAAGGAAAGTCGCCTTCTTAAGAGATAGTTGAAAGTTGTTAATCAGTCTTAAAGTTTTACAAGTATTGTTCTGATAACCTTTCTGTATTCCTTTCTTCCCACAGCCTGGTTTTGTGGTATCATCTCTATCACCGTCATTAGCCTGCTTTCCTTGCTGGGTGTGATCTTGATTCCCATCATTAACCAGTGGTGCTTCAAATTTCTTCTAACTTTCTTGGTAGCTCTGGCTGTAGGAACAATGAGCGGAGATGCACTGCTCCATCTCTTGCCACATGTAAGTGTGGTTTCCTTACTTTTCATTCTTCATTGTAACTGTACATAGAATTTTTAAAGAATTGTTTGACAAATATAAAAAAAAAATGTTCAGTGTTGCAGATCTAGATTGACTTTTGACTATGAGGGACATCCTGAAACAGTGTCTGAGACTCGCTGTTAAAGAAAGGAAATGTGTATTTCTTTTTAAAAAAAAAAAAGTAGTTGTGTATTCATAATTTCATAATTTAACTTCTGTCACAGTATTTTTAAACATCTATTGAGACTAACAATACTGCTTTAAATTCAGCAGTTTTAATGTCTCTTGTCTACTGATACTTTTGTATCAGTACCACCTAAAAAGTATTTCGGGGAGGTTAGCCTTCATGGTTGCAAGCTTTTGGGGAGAAAGTAACCTGTAATTTACTGAATCCAGAAGTTCCTGGGAAGGTAAGCAGTTTTTAATTTGTGATGGTGTACTGTGATTCTTAGAAGGGGAAATGTTTTCTAAAATTTCGTTACCTTAATTATTTCATCAAAAAGACCTATGTTCATGCATGTTTTCTTCGTGTAAATTTTAATACAAATTTTTTGTCATGAATTTTTTTTTTAAAGTTTTTATTTTAGATCAGAATTAAGGCTGTAATTGACTGTAATAGTTAAAAAAAGAGAAGTTTGGTTCCTAAGGGGAGTGGTAATTCCTTGTGACATTTCTGCGTGTTAATCTTATTTTTAGCATTGTGACAGAAAAAAGCTGAAGATAGATTGTCTCTGACTCTCCCTCCCTAAAAATTTCCTGTAAAAATATTTTTTTATTGATTAGGGTAATGAATAGTCTAATGAAAAATTTCTGTGATAAATGTGTTTGCATCAAAAAAACCCAACAACCCACAACCCAACTTCGGATTTCTTTTTATGCTACTTTTCTGGCAGGGTTACATATTTTGTCATGTGAGCTCAGAGCCGTTTTAGTTTCCTGATTGCACCAGGTCATGCTGTGTTATTATTTTCTCTCCTAACAGTCACATGGAGGCCACGACCACAGCCACCACCATGGCCAAGGTCATGTTCATGAACACAAGCGTTCTCATCGGCATGCCCATGGACATGGAGTACAGACTGAAGGCTTTCTAGAAGAAAATGATCCAGTGCTGAAAGGTCTTGTGGCACTTGGAGGCATTTACGTTTTGTTCATCATTGAACATTGTATAAGAATGTACAAGCATTACAATAGACAAAAGGTACACACTAAAATTGCACGCTGTTTTAAAATATATTACCTGAGGTTATCTTCTGAGTGTTGAAGAGATGTCAGTGTGATGATTCATTATTCTGTGAACATGAACCAGTGCCGATGATCTGCATTCTGTTTGATTTTATGTGAGGAAACCCTTTTCTAAAAAAGGTTGCTTTTCTTAACAAGGGAATTTGGGAAGACAAAGTAGAAATCTGATGGGGGAGGTTGCAGCTTTTTGGCCAGATATATTTTGAGGTAGATCTAAGTAAAAAAGATTACAGCTCTTTCTCTGAAGTGCCATGATCTTTTTGCAAAAATATGAAGGGCAGTATGTAAGAAAGAACTGGTAACAGAGCCAGACAATTGTCAGACAATCTACAAGAAATTTAACTGTATACTATTAGCTAATGATGCCCGCGTAACAGAGGTATTCCGTTTTTCCACATAAAAAACATGCCAAAATTTGTAGACCTTCTGCTTTCTATAAATTACCAGTCAGATTTTTACTTGTTTCCCTGAAAATGAATGGATTTTTAGGGCTGGGAGTATGATGTATTCATGATGAATAAGAGGCGATGATGTGTAAAAGGAGAGCGAGTACCTCGGGGGAGTGTGACAGTGGGTAGAAATTCAAGCCACTAAAGAGGCATATTCTTTCAACAGTCGTTATAAATACACTTATTAACTTTTGCCTTCATCATTCCACTTTGAGGAGAAAATTATTTTGGTGATTCTAAAACAGCTTCTTCCAAAATGATTGCGGAAAAATTTTTAACTTCTTTGTTTTCACATCAGACTTGCTGCCTCAGCTGGACAGACAGCAAAAGATTTTCTGTCTTGGAGGAGGAATTTCTTAGATCTTCTGATAAAGAAACATTGAACATATCTTCGTTGAGATTAATTAAATAGTTAAATCCCCTAGGCTTCTCTGGTGAATCTATGATCTCTGTTGTATGGGCTGCAGATAGGAAAGTAGCAAGGTTTTCTCTAAAGGAAAATACAAGTTATAGGAGTAACTTAAAGTTGAACAAAATAGAGGAGCTGTTCTTGCTGTATGCTTGCTTTCTTGAACAAAATAAGCAAATTTATAATCTCTATACATGCATTTCTGGGCTGTTAGAGTAATCCACGTCATAACGTACTCTTACCAAAGTGAGAGATTGTCTGTCTGTGTGTGAGTGAGATTCTGTGCATGCGTAGCTGAGAATTCCCACCGGGATAGAGATCATTGGTGAGCCTTACAAAGATTAATATTCTGTAGTCACCTACTCCTGTTAGGCTTATTAAGAGAAAGTAACTTAGTCTATTTTGAAGGGATTTTTTTAACAACATTTCAGTTTCTTCAGTTTCCATCATTGTCCTTTTAGAAACCAGATGTTATCTGTTTCCTGTTGCAGAGTAAGCAGAAATGGTGCAAGAAAAAACAGACTGAAGAATCACCAATTGGAAGGAAACTTTCTGATCACAAATTAAATAATAGACCAGATGCTGACTGGCTTCAGCTCAAACCCCTTGCAGGTAGACGTATATTTTCAGAATTTGCTCTTATTATGAGATTCAAAGTAATGGCATGTAACCTATGGCATGTAGCATGTAACCTCTTGTACAGTTTTGCTGCTATTATGCAAATCATTGTTAATAAGATTTAATAGGCTTTCCCTATTAAGTCTTTTTTTTAAATTCTGTTTTCCTTAGATCAGAGAGCACACCGAACACTTCCTAATATGCCATACAAATGGTTCTCAGACTTCTGAAGCAGTCAGGTTTTGGGTGGCTGTGGTTCTTTGGGGATTTTTTTATTTGTTTGTTTTGGGGGCGCTTTTTGGTTAAGCTGTGCCTGACTACCTCAGCCTGCCCTGGCAAAAATTAGATCAAAAATGAACACACACAGCCTGAAAGGGGATATCTTTTATGCTTGGAAGATTCCAGCCTCTGACCAATTACAGTGTGGCTGAGAAGGCTAAATAAAATTAATCTCTTCTCATAAATACAACCAAGTATACTGAATATTCCTCAAGTACCCAGAACAACTTCCACGTACTGTTCCTTCGTGACAGTCTGGATGCTCTGTCACCCTTGTTGAAGGGGTGAGGGAAGGGGAAAGGCTTTGCTTCATAAACTTCCCTTCCCATTGCCTGTGTGGCTGCTGAATTAATTTTTTGATGAAAAATCCATAGGCTATATTTATAGAAATGCAGTTTTGTTAATTTGAATGGTTTGTAGAAGGGAGAGTTAGGACTGTAGCCTTCCCTATTCAAACAACTTCAAATAAGATTTGGGACATTGACGTAGAACACGGAAAGACTTTCAGCTGTGAGGATGGTGGTACATATGTTTGAAATGTCTTCGTTTTCTTTTAGCGGGTGATCAGAGGAGTTTTTGCTTCTAGTAACATGGAGTACGTGCTGGTTTTATAACACTGTTCCTCTGAAAGTGCACTCCACTGATCAGTAAATCATTCGTACTACAAGCACTGGAAGCCCATGCTGAATTTGAATTTTGAACTGCAGTGCCACAGCTGCTGACCTGAATGGCCATTCCATTTCTTTTTAAATAGCCTCCAAATGATGTTTAAGAGCCTGTTTATCTAGAACTCTTTATCTGCTGCTTAGGTACTCTGTGCCTGGTTTTTAAATTCTGATTACTGTTTGCTTATTTTTGACTCTGAAATATTTTTGTTGCATTATTGTAAGCTAATAACTTAATTGTCCAGAACTACTTTTTTTCCACAACTAGTTTTGTTTGCTGAACCATAGTTTGCCAGTTTCATTTATTTATTAATACTTCAGAAATATTATTAGACTCAAAATTCATGCACACATGCCTTCTGCATTGTTTTCACTTCCTATTTCTTTGCAAAAATTGCTTTGATTGCTAGCAGGGTAATGAGCTACATTGAAGGAGCTCAGTGTATGATGCAAGTGTCTGACACAAAGATGCATGCAATACAGAAACTGTTTGAAGATCTCTTGTATCAGTGGCAGATCCTGGTATGCTTTAGCAAAGGCTAAGTTTTGACCTGTACAGCATGCAGAGAGAGGAGCCAGTTAAGGTTTCTGTAGCCATTCAGATTTCATCTACAGCTTATAAGACATTATTATTGTTCTGGCGACTCTTCCTTTTCCAGGGTTGAACCATAAACTTCATCAGTAGCAAAATTACAGACACAAGCCTAAGTTGGGCTAAAACTGACTTTGTGTGCTACGGATACAGTCACAGTCCTGTTGCTTTGAAGTGGGTACGTCTATGTGCTGTACATGCAAATCAGTGAAAAAATGGGGCAGTGAAAAATGGATTCTTTTGGCTGAAAATTGACAACAAAGTTAGTAGATTGGCATATGTTAAAATACTTTTTTTTACTTTCACAAAGTGGTTAAATTCTTAGCTCAATGATGCAGTAGTTGCTGGTGATATTTTAAGTAAGAATTAATGCAGTGTCTCTCCCAACTGGCTTCAATGTAGGAGCAGACGACTCCGTTTTATCTGAAGATCGACTCAATGAAACTGAACTAACTGACTTAGATGGCCAGCTGGAATCCCCTCCCAAAAACTTCTTGTCTGTAGAAGAGGACAACAATATGCACCATCCTCACAATGATGTCTCACGTGCTGCTCAAGAACATGATCTTCATGATTCAGAGTATGACAGCCATGGCGAAGATAAAATGATAGCTAGAAAACACAGTCACCACTGGCATCACAAACATTCCCATCATTCCCATGGCCACTGTCATTCTGGAAAAGACCTGAAACATACTGGGATAGCTAATATTGCTTGGATGGTAATTATGGGAGATGGCATTCACAACTTTAGTGATGGCTTAGCAATCGGTAAGCAAAAGCGCTGAGTCTTTCTCAACAGTTTCGTCTAACCTTTAGTAACTTCTGTAATATTTTACTTAGCAGTGATCACAAGTGAGGCTTCCCGTTAGCTCCTGTGGTTACTGGCATTGTTTAATCTCCTTCAGAGAAAAAAGTAAAAGGCCATCAATTGTAATAGTCTTCCCTTTGTTAATATTCTGTGACTGTTTCCATCAAGATTACTGTATAGGTAGTAACTACAGTAGCATTCTCTGCCAAATAAAGATAGGTGCAGACAAATCTCATATGAATTACAGAGCACATTTAATGCACAGTTGTTGTTTGGATCTTAGTATTTGCCTTTGAATAATAAGTGCCTTTCAGTCTCATTTATAATGATATTTATTTATAAAAATAATACTGTTTCTGTTGTTATAATACGTAGAATTATACAGCACTTGTAAAGAATAAATGTACTATGAGTCAAGTTACTGAAATGATAAAAAAAGTACTACTTCGGACAATTTCATTTTTGTTTGAGCAAAGTATTATTTTGGCTTATGGTCATTTATAGATTTATTTCTAGACAAATGTAAAAGAAATTGGAGTACCAAACTGACTTTATTAGATTTACTAAATCAACTTAAATTCACATAAACCTCTAAATGTGATTTGAACTGTAAACCACATTAATTTGAATATACATCATACAAGTCAAAATGATGATGAGAGTACTGAAGTGCATACATCTGATTTTTTGCTAAGGTAGCTACTAAGAGTACACAGGGTTCTGAAATACTATCAGAAGGAAAATACTCATTTTGAAGGATGGAGAATAAGCTACTTATTAGGGTCTGTAGTTAACAATGGAATCTACTACAGCTTCTCCACTTTCTCCAAATAATTTCTAAAGAAACGAAGCTCCATAAAAAATAACTTTTTGCTTAATTTTCACATTAAACACATAGGACATTTAGACACTGGTTTCTGAAGCCAGAAGGGATCACTACACCATCTGTTGAGCACTTCACTCTATTGAAACTTAATTTCTTGATACTCCTGTATCAAGCCCAAACAGCTGATGCTTTGGCAAAATGTAGATTTTTGAAAAGCATGTTCATCTTCTTAATATATCAAGTTACAAGGACTCCAGAGGAAAGCTATATTTCTTCTCTGTCTTCAGATTATGTCTTCTCTTTCTACTTTATTTTGCCTGCTTTGACTGCTCACTGCAGGCTCTTCTTGTGCCTTTCTCTGCTACAGTACAGAAATTTAATACCAGTTTTCTCATCTCAGAATTATTTAAGGTATGAATTTAAAGTTGATTGAATTAATTTAGTTTACACAGAAGTTACTGAAAGAGGTTTTTGCTGATGTTTTTCTCATTATTTTCCAGGTCTGGTTTGTTAATGTTGCTGATAGTGCTCTACAAATAAGTATAAAGGAAATAGAGAGGTTATGGGTTAAATGTTAGTTTGGATTTCCAATCTGGAAAGGGGAGAGCAAGACATTAACTTAACTGCATTCTTAACTGTCCTGATGCACTTAAGAGTTCCTAAAAATGTAAAAGGGGTGCTCTTTTTTAGCTTGTTCCCCTTGTGTCTCTGTTTTGCTCAGTTGTGTTCTTCTCTCCCAGGATTTGTCTTTCAGATAAGCTGAGTAATAAAGTATGCAGTGGTATTGCACATCCAGGATACTTAGAATATTTTAAGTTTTTGTACAGACAGGACAGAGTCATAATGAAAAAATATTAGAGCGTGCATTCTAACAGAAGGGTGTCATCTCTGGAAAGTCTGTTGATTAAGTTTTTTTACTTGGAAATAGTAAAATTTTGTTTGAATCTTTTTTTTTTTTTTTTCCCCTAGGAGCAGCTTTTAGTGCTGGACTGACAGGAGGAATTAGTACATCTATAGCAGTATTTTGTCACGAGCTTCCTCATGAATTAGGTAACTAATGCTATAAATTTAATATGCTCAGTCTCTTTATCTGTACAAAATATTTATCTAAAAGCTGTTGTGATGCTCATCCTGATAAGCATAATGCAATGCAGATACTGCAAGGGTGACCAGAACTTCAGAGCGTAACGGAGCAATGTTGCTTCAGAGTACATAATGAGAATATTGATACAGGATTATTTTGGCAGGTATCTAGTTACAGCAGTTCTGGTAAGCTTTTTGAACATGTTTTTAAAATGTTCTTAGGAGCATACAGTTTACATTTTGGTGTTATGCCTCTGCATTTTAGAGAGGGAGTTTTATACTGCTTTGTGTGGCATTGTCTTACACAAAGTTAAGTAAAGTTACATAAGTAGACACAAATTTACCAAAATAAAATTCTTGTGGAGATCTTACAAAGATGATTTGTACCAATTGTTGCTGAGTCTGATAGGTGTGGATGACTATTTCGGGTAAAGCCTGTAGGCATTCTTGCCCATGCCATTGGTTCTCCCCCCTACTTGAAGCATTTCTTCTTGTGGTTAGCTAACCATGATGAAACCTGATGTTTTTCTGTGAGCTGCAAGGCACATCGCATGAAATTTTAGTGTGTCCCAAGACTTACAAAAGAGCAGCTAGAGAGAGAAGTCGTCATCTTTTTTGCCAGCAACGTGAAATTGTGTGCTGGATTGAACTGTGTATGTACTCACAGCTTGCTTACTTGATGAGCTGCTAGCTCTGAATGATCAAAAGGTAAAACAAGTACTTCAAAAACCCTTAGAGGTGATAAGTGAAATCATTTTATACAGGCACATACTATGTATAAGGTACATAATGGGCACAGATGGGAAGTAATAGAGCAGATGTTCATGGTTTGACAACAGTGCTATACCATCGTTAAAGTGAAGCTGCTGCAGTATCTGAAGAATTTCAATATATATTGGTGTGCTTGTAACTTGCTAGGTTAACATGATTAAATTAACCTCGTAAAAGAAGTGAGTAGTTCACTGTGCCTATTTTTTGTTTTGATTCCAGATTGAGCAATTAATTTCTAGCATATCTGACATGAGAATATTCTATTAATTAACCTCATGACTGCATATCGTCTTCTACTCTTATTCTTGAGAGTTCGGTTTGAAGGGAGTAAAACTATTAGAGCTGATTAAAAGACAAAAATTTAGATCTTTATAGAATGTCTACCTCTATTGGTAATTTTAGAAGAGCTGTCCTGAATTCAAAATAAAACAGGTTAACCTGACATGTCTTAAACCAGGAAACTGATTCAGGATGGATGTGAAGTCATTCTTTCTGAACATAATTCCTCTTTTTTGTAATGCTATGTTTCTCAAATTCATTGTCACCTTCTGTGGGGACTAATGCCTTGTTATCCTCCTTGAATTTGCAGAATGAGCTCCAATAAATATATATATTTTATAA